AAACAACACTGGTCCAGAAGCACTTCCTGTTTCAGTTTTAACACTGTATAAACGTTGGGTTAAAGTACAACCAACAGAACAACTGAATCAAAAAGTTAAACAAACATATTCAAGATATTTTCTTTACATTTGAAATTAAGAAGCCTTTTACAAACTGAAACAGGAAGTGCATCTGGACCAGTGTTGTTTACATCTCGTAATGTGCAATAGCAGTAATGTGAGCTATTGTAAGACTAATGTAAGTTACCATACTATCTGGTACTACCGTGAATATTCATTCATTCATTCTTTCAGACTCTTAGGTCAATATCACAAAGTTAAATAAATAACATGTATACGTGGGCAATGGTAATCATGCAAGATTCATTGTATTTTGTTTACGGCTTGTTACTGATCTTAAAAGCATTCATAAAACGGACTTCACGAATCTAAAGTTAGGCAAACAAGCACATAACAGTTAGGCAAGTTAGCTTACCTGAATCTGACAATATTCAACACCCGGCGTGACTTCTTTATCGGAACATCGTAGCCGAGCCATTTCTGGGGTGTTCCTCAATCGGATTCCCGTCCTTAGGCCCTGTTAACACGAGAACGCTCGCGGTTGAAAACGTAAAAATATTTTATCGGATGTGCCTTTCGTTTACACGGCGATGGCGTTTTTGAGGCTCAAAAAAGCAAAAAAAAGTGAAACCACCCTCCAGAGTGGAAATCTTACCCGTGTAAACGGTAAAAACGCAAAAGTTTGCTTGACGGTGAAAGTTGTACGCAGGCGCGTGGACTTGGTGTTGTGGTAGTATGCACTCCTAGCCGCCTGAAGTGCATACTACATTGAATTTCACACACTTTTGCGTCTCCATTTGCACGCGGATTTCTCACACAAAACGCTCGTCTAAACGCAGAATAAAAAAAAAGATGACGCAACGCCACTTTTGCGTTTCCTCATCAGAATCGTTTCCGTGTTTAGCCTCAGTTGGGCACTTTCAAGCCTATGCTTCCAAATGTAGTGCCTTCCGCCATTGCCTCCGGTGCTCCTCGTCTGTGGTGGGTGTAGCTAAATCGTAAAGTGCACCACAACAACAATCTGACCGCCTCACATTCTGTTCGTTACACCGTTGGTCCAATTGTTCTCTCCTCTTAATCCAACTGTTATGGCAGCACCTAACTGAACATTTAATACTTGCCATATTTTACCGTTCGTTTCAACTAGCGCAGAATCTCATCCCTCTCATGAGCCGGAAGTTGAAGTCTTTCTCAGACGGGAGTAAGATGACAAAACGAACGCAATGGCGTCACCCTTGTTGTCGTACAAAATAAGGTGAATAGAAGAAAACTGTTTCCAAACAAACGGTTCTCTTTGCTTCGGGAAAGAATGCTGTAATTTTAAAGTATTTTTCTCGCGCTTGAAGCAATACACTAACGTTATTGGTTGCACCTCCATTACGTCACCACATTTGTTGTGTTTATGGTTGTGAGTGGTGAATTTCAAACCTCAAAACGCCCCCCTTTTCTTGCAGCTTGTTTGTTTGCGGAAGGACTTTTTTTTTTTTTTTTTTAATTTAATTTAATTTTTTATTTCAAGAATTACAATTACAGTCAGGGGTACATTGAATAAACTAAATAAAAAAAACAAGAAAAGACAAACAAAGCAGTGACAAACTTAAGTTAAACAAAAATGTGAAAATGTTTACATATAGATACACATTTTGCAGCTTTCTTATTTTTCAAACCCAGTATTGTTTTTAGGTATTGTTGAATTTCTGCTCTTAAAATTAAAAACAAAGGCTTGTTTCCACCAAATTTACATTTATGGATACTAAATTTAGCTAACAGAAGAAGAAGATTAATTAGGTAGTATTCCCTACGATAAGATTGGTCATAAAGGAAAAAACCAAATAACACATTTTTGAAGCAGAGTTGAAATCTGGGCATGATGTGAGCCGTAATAAAGGAGCAGAAATCAGACCAAAAACAAACTGAATGAGGACAACTCCAAAATAAATGATAAAATGTTTCATCATGTAGACCACAAAATGTACAAAATGTATCAATATCACAATTAAATCTGGTCACAAGATAAAGATTACTTGGGTAATATTTATAAATTAGTTTAAGGGAAATTTCTTTTATTTTGTTTGTGACTAAATATTTATGAGGAAGTTTCCAGATTTTATTCCATATCAGATTATCAGCATAACCATTCCAAAATGATATAACAGGTCTGGAGACAATATCCCTTTGAAACAAAGCCCGTACACAACGATTATTGTTTTTAACATAGGAAAGAGAAAAACAGATACGGCCAACTTCAGTATCAGCAGGATCCAATGAGAGAGGAGAAAGCAAAGGGCAGGTATTTTTAAGAAGCATTTTTAGACCAGAGGGAACAGCATCCATAACCACAGCAAAATCTTTAGGAGTAACTGGAATATTATATTTAGAAAGAAATTCAGAATAGGTCAACATAAGACCTTCATGATTAAACAGTTGGTTAACAAAAATGATATCATTACAAAACCAATTCATAAGAAATAAAGATTTAGATTTATACAAAATGTACTTATTATTCCAAATAAAACACCTGTTTGGGGAGAAATTGTGTTTATAGATTAAATTCCAGGAAAGAAGCATCTGTTTCAAACCACAAACCTCGGTATGACGCGTTGCAAGTGAATCTATTTAATTTTGTGAATAAATATGATGCAGCTGGACTTACCTTTCAACATGGAAGGATAACCAGCTGCTGACAATAACACGGGAAAGCCCGGTGGTTTTGCGACCACTCGTTTCACATCATGCATGCCCAAAGAATTAACTCTGCCAAAACCGTGATGTCATTGTCCATCTCAGTTCAGATCTCATATAATGGTGTCAATGCAGGCAGTTCAATAACATTGTTGAATATTAAATAAAAATGTCCCCAACTAAGCAAAGCCAATGGCGACAAATGTTGTTGTCTGCAATTGGTAAAACTTCACAATAAAAATTTAGATATTCTGAAATGTTTCCCTGTATTTTTTATTTCATTAAATATTCAGATGTTTTTGTGAACGTATATTCATGGTGTTTATTTTGTCCTGTTTTTATAAAAGAATATTTGATTAGGATACTTTTTTTCATACAGTGGTTTTAAGGCCCCACAGGCGACATAAGCCAACCCTAGAGTTGGCTTTAGTCATTGCTAGTTCTTTGACGTCGGTTTTCTGTTTCAGGGCCTTAAGAATTTATTTATTTTTCTGTACAAAAAAACTTGTTTGCTGTAGACCAGAGATAATTTTCAATCCTGAAGTCCTCTGCCACTCCTCCCTCTGAGAACAGCCAGCACCCTTAGTGTCAGTCATTAACATATGAAAGGTCTTCTTCACACCTCTCACACCCAGCAGTGTTTCAGCTGTATATGTCCGTGAAATTTCACGGATTCCTGTATATGCCCGCTTAGGTGAGGTTTCCGGGTTTGTCTGGAAATATACTGTTCCGTGTTACTCTAATCCGCTTTTTCCCACATACATCCAGCAAACATCAAATTGCACAGGAGTTTACCATGCCCGGATATTGCCGGATTTGAGTCTTTTCATGCAGTGTAGACTGATAATAACAGCTGTTTAAACCACACAGAACAATTAAATTCGTACCTATAAAACTTAAATGCTTTTTGCCACCGTTAATGTGAATAATTGCACGGTTTAAGGTGAACTGTCCTCATGCATTACAATAACACTTCAAATCCACTAGATGTCACTGTCCAACAGATGTTATAGTAGACTACAGTCATTAACAATCGGCTATTGTATCTCATGTAATTTATTTACATTTCTATATGCAGTCCAAAACTGCACTGAAATGATACCTGACTTATCCAGTATCCAGTTTTGATGTTCATCAAATTCATTAAATATCAAATGTCTGGATTTTTTTATTTAGCCTAAATGTATTTGCCAAAATATCAGTTTTTTGTATTAATTTACTATTTTGTATTGTGACAATAGCCTGTATTGATAGAAGTACTGGCCTAGTTGGAAGCAGCTGTTAGGTAATACCAAGTGGCTTGTCACAAGGTTACTGCTTGGAGAACAGATTCAATACACATCTTTGTTGCCAATCTCTGAAAATAAAGAGATTTATTTAAATGTTCTGACATAAAGCACTTATATTTCATTATGCAGCAGGCCTTGCTTCAATAACAAACTTTCTTGATGTCTTATAAGTCTATCACTTATTGTAAGCCATGAATACAAATGGGTGAATATTTATAATTAATAAATCCTAGTAAGAGCAGTCGTTCAATTTCAATATATTGCAACTAGAATTGCATTGTATCACTATAACTAAACATTTAACACTAGTAAATTAACTATAGATTCAGTCAAATAGATCTCATTAAATGTTCCTTCTTCTTTGGTTATTTAAAGAAACTCATACAGGTTTGGTTTTATAAAACTATGAGGGTGAGTAAATTATGACAAAAAAAAATGTATTTTGGGGTGAACTAATGTTTGCTATTGTGTTTCTCATTGTTAATGCTGTTAAAAATGTCTCAATCTGATCGCAGCACAATAGTAACTTACAATGCAACTCAAGGGCCATTCTGAAGACTCGCCTAAATCCAATGTCCAATCCGTAAAACAAAAATACTGCATTTAAAACAACCAAATTTGGGTGGGGACCCAGTGCTGGTCAAAATGGGACGCTTGTTATTAATGTTTGTTTTAAGTAAAAATTAAGAGAGAAAAAAATGAAAACATGTAAATGGCATTGTTAGACTAATTCGTGTGTCATCAGATATGAGTCACGCCAGAAGAATAATTAGGATATTGTTATTTGTATTCATTATAAGTCCAGGAAGCTGGCTATAGCAATCAAGATTAAAATGAAAACATGCAATGTTTAGCAAACTGAAACCATTTGGTCTTTCTCTGGGAGTGAGCTTTCCACTAGATCACATGATGTCTAGTGACGACATCTGCAGCAGCCTAGGATCTGCGGGGGCACAGTTAAGACACAGACACAGACAGCTGAAAGATAGTCTGAACACACTTGGGCTGCCTTTAACTGCATTAAATACGGGACATGCTCCTTGGGAGAATGAGGAAAGGTAAGACATCCATTTTCCATCCATTTTAACGGTAAAACAGGTGTGTGTTATGATGTTATCCATAATAAAATGAATTATCACATAAGTTTTGTGTCAAAAAAAAAAAAACATGACATTAAGAGCACCGTCATGACAGGAATGAAAGCGAGGCTGTGAGGTATCTGTGAGCTATGAGGTGTTTTTAATGGCATCTTCATTAAAAAAAGATGCATAAAGCTCAATAGATCACTAATATTTTTCTAAAGTTCATCTTGTCTGGAGTTGCACTGAAATTTCTTGGAAAGATATTTTTAGTGTTTCATCAGCACTGACAAATCCAAAAAACGTCTTGGAGATCCTGAGATGCTGCGAAGCCTCTCACTATGGGAACACCTGCGGGGCAGGGATGCAAATTATCGATTAATTCATAAATTTTTAACTGATTGACCTTATCGTTTTATTAACGATTAACTGATAAGCATCTATTTTCCTGAGAATGTACATTTCTCATGATTTCAATAGTGTCTTTAACATAAAAAGCAAAATATTGCTTATATACTGAATAAAAATGCATGTTATATTGCTCAAATGATGTTTTATTGTAACAGTTCGGATATGGTACAGAACATAGTTTAACAAAATTAATTATTCACAGAAAATGTAAATACATAAAAAATAATTGTGCACTGGCTCACCTGTTGCAAACATTAAGCAATATAAAATAAATGTTAATAAAAATCCATATGAGTAGGCTTAGCCTTAATATATTAAGTCTATAATAATCTATCTGGTAAACTACTTGTATGAAAAACTTGAAACATTAGCAGCATCTTTTATAATCCCCTTTTTCTGAGAAAGGTAACAGTAAGATTACTAGACCTGGAAATGTCAAATATAAAACTGAAGGGATGTCAAGTTTCACAAATTCCCACAATCGATCGTCATTTAAATTAAAGATCAATGCGTCTGCTGCAGTGGGTGGCGTACGGCCAACAGCTGGACAGGGACTGCTTGCTGCTCAAAACGCTATGTTCCTCATCAAATTAAAGAGAATGGGTTTTAATCTAAATAAAGGGCTAGTAGGATTGTAAAATGTTTCAATGTTATAGATAATTAAATTTAATTATTTAATAATCAAATATAACGACTCATACAACGTGTCACCAATGCCAACTCAGATGCGTGCTTGTCAGAATATGTTGTGGACGCGCACTGGAAACAGCAACCAAACCCAATGAATTCACAACGATTTAATAAAATAGTGTTCTGATGTTAATATGGCAGTCACAAATTAATCATCGTTATTATTAATAGTGCATTGCTGCTTGAGCGGCGCGTGCTGAATGAATATCCGCTTTTGACCTTTTGACCTGCTTTTTTGACCTTTATTTAACCAGGCTCTCATAGATTAAAAATCTCTTTCACAGTGCATTAAAAGTACAAGTTTAGCTTGATTGGTGACGATTGAAGATATTTTTCACATTTTTGTTAAGTTTTGGACTTTCATTTTGATTGACGACTATGGGCTCTATGCACGGCGGTATTTCCGGTGAAGGTGTAAGGATGCTCGATAACTTCCGCCAATCGTAGAGTCCAATGCAATACCGAAAATTTATATTGAATTTTATACTCCATGGTTATACTAAAGAAAAAAATGTCTGCATGTCTGCAGCGATGAGCGATGTAGATAATCACAGATATGTGTGGATTTATTGAACGCAATGGCCAATCAGAAGGATATACGATAGACTCTCCTCACCGCTCAAAACTGACTTTTTGTTCAGTGCTGAATTCTGTATGCTGGCAAATCCTCGAATTATAACAAACAACTGTATTATGAAATATTTATTGTGCAGTCAGGTTCATTAGTAATAACAGAGATGTGATCGCGATGAACTGATGTCGGCTAGAATTACAAATATTTGAACTCTTTAATGTTTTTCTGTAAATGCTCTTTCTGTAAAATATTGGTTATAATTAACTATAGCAGAAAAAAATATTTTATAATTATTCAATCAATATTTATATTGATTAGCTATATAAAATCTACTATGTTTTTATTTGAGATGTATTGAGGGTCATTTGTTTTGTGTAAATATATTTATGCATGCATTACATTCAATAAAATCATTAATTTTACCATTGTGAATATCCGAGCCCAGATAGCAAACTGACATTGAATCAACGTGGAAATATGACATCGAAACAACGTTGATCTGACATTGTTTTGCTCATCGAATTAACGTTGAACCAACGTCAGACGCGTCATTCTTTCAAAACTAACGGAAAATCAACTTGAAATCAACGCGTTGTTTCAACGTTATGAAAGCAAACCAATTTTCGATTTTCATTTAGCTTTGAAGAATGCTGCGTCTGACGTTGGTTCAACGTTAATTCGATGAGCAAAATCAACGTTGTTTCAATGTCATGAGAGACGTCGTTTCCACGTTGATTCAATGTCAGTTTGCTATCTGGGAGGGTAACGGTTGCTTCACGACCAATTTCAAAGTTCCGTGCGACTGACACTATGGGGCGAAATACAACAATCGAATGCGAATATCGTGTGCAGTGGAAAGGTGGCTTCACCCACAGGTTCCGCTAGATTTACTTTTTTCTGAAGGATATCGATAAAAACCCTACACTTTTTGCTGTATATCTCACGGTGCAACCCCAAACACAACACGTTTTCGCCATCGTTTCAACTTTGATCAACAACAACTATTTAACTGTTAAGTTCCCGGCTGGATCTCTTCAGTTGGTCAGTAGAAACCGCTGGCGTTCTGCCACCCGGAAGTATCGCGGTGCCTATTGTTTACAAACACAAACATTCTGAAATGCCCTTTACGAACGAACGTTTCAACCGCACTGGTCACGCGCATTTGAGTGTTCTGCACGTGTCATCGCACGTGAGATGGGAATTGCGATTTGCAGTTGGTGCTGAACATAGTTATTTCCAGAGGAGATTTGAGTTTAAAACATTTTGTGTTACCCTGCCATCCAACGACATCTCAGGTTGACACATCTCTGTGGGGTAATCTCAGTTTGTTACATTCCTGTGCAGACTGATCTCATGAAGTAGTGTGTCAAGAAGTGTGTATGACACGCCAATTCGTATTTCCATTTTTGGCGTGCAACTCGCATAATCGCTTTTCAGCGTGTTTATGAACGCCGTTGACTTAACGTTACATTACTGTATATATAAATATATGACCTACCTCAACCCTGTCCCTAAACCTACCCATCACTGGGGTTAATGGCATTTATGAATCTCCCTCACCATCCTAGGAAAAAAAAAAAAAATCGCTCCCCAGAAGTAGATCTACATTTTGCTTCATTTCGCGTGGACATTTGACGGCGTGTACATACACGTGGAATCACTCGGACGTTAATGGCGTAGAGACATACACGCGGATGCACGCGGATAGCTCAAAATGCATAGAGATAACACGCCACTTGACTCGAAAGTGGCCTGTATGTTTACGCAAAAGTCATGATCACATGTTGTCCTGTGATACATTTCATCTTTGATTAGTCTCAGTTTGATTCATTCACTTGTCGACTCATTTTTGATTCATTCATTTTTTATTCGTGGGACATTTCATTGAGCTTGAGAGATATTGCTACGAAATCTCAAGATAATTTCAACGCACGCTACGTCGAAACAACTCCTCTCAATTTTTCAATCTATATATATATATTATTATATATATATATATATATATATATATATATATATATTATTTATATATATTATATATATTATAGTTGAGCCACTGTAGTCACATGGAAAATTAAAATTTTCTTCATTGACTTTCTGGGCCGTCAAGAGCCAGTCCCTTAGGCAGCCTATGTGGTAGTTATACAGCTCTCAAATTTAATCAAAAATATCTTCATTTGTGTTCCGAAGATGAACGAAGGTCTTGGGGTTGGTACAGCATGGGGTGAGTAATTAATGACTTAATTTTCATTTTTGGGTGAACTAACCCTTTAACTAATGGCTAAATAACAGCACAACCCACTGAAGTGATCTGTCTATCCCTCACAGCTTCACTTTCATTCCTGTTAAAAATCAAAGATGGCACTGCCTTGAATAGGGTTTGTTAGCTATTAGTAGTGTATGTGTTTGTCCCCAAACTAAACTAGCCCCACAGTTAATTAAAAAGATTTCCTTGGTCATGTCAATTACAGGAAATTGCCTATAACACAAAAATAAATACAAACCCCTAACCCCACGCTAAACAATCGCAAACCTTAAAGGGTTAGTTCACCCAAAAATTAAATGTCATTAATGACTCACTCTCATGTCGTTCCAAGCTCATAAGACCTCCGTTCGTCTTCGGAACACAGTTAAGATATTTTAGATTTAGTCCGAGAGTTTTCTGTCCCTCCATTGAAAATGTCTTCACGGTATACTGTCCTTGTCCAGAAAGGAAATAAAGACATCATCAAAGTAGTCCATGTGACATCAGGGGTTAGTTAGAATGTTTTGAAACATCAAAATGCATTTTGGTCCAAAAATAACAAAAACTATGACTTTATCCAGCATTGTATTGTCTTCCGGTTCTGCCACCATTGGGACATTTACACCCCAATATTCAGACAAAAGGATTTATTTCTTTGAAGAATTTACAAGATTAATGTTTTAATTTGTATTCAATGTTGTGTGCTCTCTGCTTTCAGAAGAAGACCATGAAATTTGTGAAGTAATCAGAAGTGATGATGGCATAGCTGATGAAGATCCCACAGCGCAATGTCAGAAAAAAAAACACAAACTCAAAATACCAAAAAATATTCCAATTAAAATCTTTACTAAACTCCAGAAGAATTTCAAATCTGAAGAAACTCTACGCCCCAAAACACAATTAGGTAAGATAGCAGATTGTGTTGTTCATGTTTTGGTTGGTTTGTTGTTTATGTGTCATCTTGTTGTCTACGTTGATACATGATCCATTTATGAAATTTAATACAATATAATTATTATATTATATGCAATGAGACATTCTGTTTTGTGAAAGCAGCTCTTTTGTTTTCACCTCCAAAACATACAAACAATTGGTCAGATCTATGCCATTGGACTGTGCGGTCGAAGTCTCCAAGACCACCTGCTGGAAGCAAAATGGGGTCGATGCAACGTTTGGAACATACTACATCGCATCAAGATTTTAACCAGCCCGGGGCAAAGTCCATACAAGAAGGGCTGTCTGAAAGAGCCTGCAAGTCCCTTATTCTCTTAAGAGAAGATAGAGCCACCAAAAGGACCGTCTTATGGGTCAAAAACTTTTAAAACACCGACTCCAAAGACTCAAATGGATGGCCCTCCATGCCCTGTAAGGCCCTCCAGGACAACAGATAAATACCACAATACCACAATTAGACCTAAACATGAACCGGACGTCCTGTCCTGAACTGACTCCTGCGAGAGACAGACTTGCCCACATCTTGCGAGAATCAAAGACCATGCCAAAAAAAGTTGTTTGCTGATGTCGTAGCAACACACTCTTTTTGAGGTTTATGCTCCTTAGGTCCTCAAATAATTGAGCACCAAGTCTCGATGAGCACCTGCCAAATCCTGTAAATGGTAAATGGACCTGCATTTGGTGGCCAGTGGCCACCAAAGCACTCTACATATTGCCTCACACTCACCCATTCATACAGCGCCGAAAAGGGCTGTTTCCAAGACATGGTGGAGGTCTTGGAAGATGGGGAGAGGCTTAAGTGGCTGGGCTGGGGAGCGCCTGGTCAAAAATTGGTCACTGATTTTGAGTTGGCTCACAATCCCATTCTAGCCCCAGCTTGTCTACAGCATGTGTAAGTACATCCAAATACTCGTTATAAGATGGGGAAGTGTGTTTCTCTTCGCTTGGAGAGAGAGAACTGCACAAATCAACCATGAGCTTCTCAGAATCAGAGGCCGCTGTAGACAGCACATCATCATCATGAGTGTCTCCTCCTGCATTGAACTTGTCACATGGATCGATGGATCTCCTATTGCTCATCATGTCCACTTGAGGATTGAAAACTGCTCTGAAAAGTAGCAATAAACATGATAAAAAAAGCTTTCCTACAGGCAACAGAAAATTTGCTTCCTGAAGGAAATGAAATCTGATGAAATCGCGTGTCATGCTCATCCGAAAAATACATTATGCATTCTCCAGCCGGTGCTAAGTGCTACTGGCCAATGAAATGTTAACTAACGGCTAAATAACATCAGCACAACCCACTGAAGTGATCTGTCTATCCCTCACAGCTTCACTTTCATTCCTGTTAAAAATCAAAGATGGCACTGCCTTAAATAGGGTTTGTGTGCTATTAGTAGTGTATGTGTTTGTCCCCAAACTAAACTAGCCCCACAGTTAATTATAAAAATTTCCTACAGGAAATTGCCTATAACACAAAAATAAATACAAACCCCTAACCCCACGCTAAACAATCACCAACCTTAAAGGTGACTCACTCTCATGTCGTTCCAAGCTCATAAGACCTCCGTTCGTCTTCGGAACACAGTTAAGATATTTTAGATTTAGTCCGAGAGTTTTCTGTCCCTCCATTGAAAATGTCTTCACGGTATACTGTCCTTGTCTAGAAAGGAAATAAAGACATCATCAAAGTAGTCCATGTGACATCAGGGGTTAGTTAGAATGTTTTGAAACGTCAAAAATGCATTTTGGTCCAAGAATAACAAAAACTATGACTTTATCCAGCATTGTATTGTCTTCCGGTTCTGCCACCATTGGGACATTTACACCCCAATATTCAGACAAAATGATTTATTTCTTTGAAGAATTTACAAGATTAATGCTTTAATTTGTATTCAATGTTGTGTGCTCTCTGCTTTCAGAAGAAGACCATGAAATTTGTGAAGAAATCAGAAGTGATGATGGCATAGCTGATGAAGATCCCACAGCGCAATGTCAGAAAAAAAAGCACAAACTCAAAATACCAAAAAATGTTCATACGAAAATCTTTACAAAACTCCAGAAGAATTTCAAATCTGAAGAAACTCTACGCCCCAAAACACAATTAGGTAAAATAGCAGATTGTGTTCTTCATGTTTTGGTTGTTTTGTGTATATGTGTCCTATACATTGATATATGATCAATTTATGAAATTATAATAATATAATATAATATAATATAATATATCTAATATAATATATGTTTGCCTGTACCCTGTTATTATTTGGACTTTTTATTGGATTATATATTTATATTAGTCTTTTAAAGGGATACTCCACTTTTTTTGGAAATAGGCTAATATTACGACTCCCCCAGAGTTAAACAGTTGAGTTTTACCGTTTTCAAATCCATTCAGCTGAATTTCTTTTCTGATTTTTAGAAGAATATCAGTAACCAGACAGTTTCTGGTCACATTGACTTCCATAGTATATTTTTTTTTCCTACTATGGAAGTCAATGAGAATAACATAGGGAATAACATAGTTTAATATGAAAAAAAAAGCAGTGGAGAATCCTTAAATAAAGTACTGTGTCCATAACCTTGCATGACAGAATGAACCAGGCTTACATACTCAGAGATTGATTATGTAATGAGAACCAGCTTAGAACAATCAAGCATGATGAGAACGGGCAGTGAGTTCTGGGATTTGTATTTTGTGAGGGAATGACAATTGTCTAGGGTGGAGTGCCCTCTATCAAAATTATAATTATAAAATTATTAATTATTAATAAAAATGATTATAATCATAGGAGCAAACAGGTTTATACTTGTGAAAAGCTCTATTAGAGCTATAAGTTGGATTTGAACAGAAATACCTAGCAGTACACCAGCATATTGCTCATTATCTTTACATGATGATTGATGAGAATCATAAAATGCTGCTAATATTGCACTATCGTGGTACCTCTTTTGTGTTGTTCAGCAGCTATGTAGCGCTAACAGGAGGGTTGGGGTGCCAGCCTTAGTGAAGCCACTTCGTCTAGCTGGTGTGAAGTCTATTAAAGAGTCCATTAACTTAAGAGTTTTAATTAGAGCTTTTAATTTAGAGAAAATTAAGCAAGTTTCTTTTCTGTTAATTTCTGATTTATACTTAAGTTGTGGACCGTGATGGATTTGAAGGCATAGCAGATTTCCCTGGTGATACTGAAGAGGAAAAACAGAAACATGCGATCAAAATGAAACTGAAAATTCCAGACTTCATGAAACGGAAGAAGAATTCAAAATCCCACGAAACTCTATCAGGTAACAGACAATCTTTTCATGAATTCAAAATTACAGGGACTATTTTACAGGGGGTTTAAAACTGGGTTATAGAAAGGTTATAGTCTAAATGCCCATTTATACATTTATCTTCATTTCTCATATTTTTCTTTGAGAGTTTAAACAGATTTATATGAAAATATACAGCTGCTAAATAGATTTTTATAGAAAAGAGTCTAAATAGATTTAGATGTAGTTTATTTACTTTCTAAATAGATTTCATACAAAAGAGTCCTTAGCATCAAAGAGAAAACCCCAGCTATACCTCTTACAAGGGAATTAGAAGGAACTGAGGGTTAAGTGGGTTAAAAATTAAGTAAATATAACAGATTTGTCTTCTGACATACTGCAGTGGAGCTGGATTTTACTGGAAACCTTGAACAGAACCGTCTGACTGAAGCACAGCAGCAGCTTGTGAAAGCTGAGGAATGTCTCTTCGGTTCAAATGAAGTGGCCAGGACAGAAGAAATGGTGGACAAGCTGCAGACAGACTATGAGTTCTTTATTTTGCGACTGAGGATGGCCATCTATGATTCTTTCAATGAGGACAATCAGGAGACTCTCAAGAGTGCTTTGACTTCAATACTTCAAGAGGAGGAACAAGATAGACGCTGGGCGGAAGTGGCGGTGGATCAGCGTCCAAAATGGAGGCCCACAAAGTGCAGAGAGATGCATGACAATTTACTCCAGACGGTCGTGGAGGAACGAATGAAGACTGCAGATGAACAGGAGAATAAAGTAGACAAGCTGTCTACCTCCTTGAAGACAGAAGTGTGTCGAATGGGCAAACAAGTACAAAAAGACCTGCTTAGAGTGGTCCAAAATCTGAGAGAATGTTATCCACCAGACTTTGACATTTGCAGAACGTATGCTCAACTCTACCATCAGACCTTCTCTACCAGACTCCAAGAGCTCGTCAGATCCAGTATTGATTTTGAGGACTGCCACTATATATTGAGTTGGATTGTCAATTACTACCCAAAGTAAGTGCCAATTAGAATTTACAAAATCATGACCTATTACTTCCTAAGTTATATTATACATGATTCAACATTTTTAAACACAGTTTCGGAAATGTTAATATTCTTTAATATGTTTTTTTTTTTTCGTAGAGATGTATTGAAGCACGTACAACTAGAGGAGCACATTAACAACTCATCGATTGGACCTTTGTTACCTGAAGAAGATCTTAAGAGATTAGAGGAACAGTACTTCTCATACAAAGAGGTCATTCAGTTCATGACTTATTTCAGAAAAACACAATTGCATAATCAGATTCTTATACAACAACATGTCATCAGAAAAGTGGTGAGATTTTGTGAAATAACTTAAAAATCAAGAATCTGTGATTTGTTAATTCTCTTTAACCTTTATTTGTCATGGGATGGGTGGATTAACCTAAGGGTGCGAGGACTCAAGTGCAAAAACAATAGGTACATATTTATTAAGTAAATAAACAAACAAACACAGACAAAACTCCCTCGTGGCTGAGAATGAGAACAAAAAAAGGCAGGATAAGGAAACACAAGGAACATGGAAAACTTGGACAACGAACCAACACAGGACTGCAAACACAGGGAGAATAAGGCTATGTTTACACGGAAACGATTCTGAAGAGAAAACACAAAAGTTGCGTTGCGTTATCACTTTTTATTCTGATTTAGACGAGCATTTTGGGTGGGAAATCCACGTGCATATGGTGACGCAAAAGAGTGTGAAATTCAATGTAGTATGCACTCCAGACGGCTAGGTGGCAACGTGAAGCACTGCCACACAACAACACCAGTTCCGCGCGCCTGCGTACAACCTTCACTGTCAAGCAGACTTTTGCGTTTTTACCGTTTACACGGGAACGCGACGGTCGAGTGTTTTTAGATTTCCACTCTGGAGGGTGGTTTCACTTTTTTACGTTTTAAGCCCTAAAAACGGCAGTCGCCGTGTAAACGAAAGGCACATCCAATAAAATATTTTTACGTTTTTACCCGCAAGCATTCTTGTGTAAACAGGGCCTAAATAGGGAAACGAACACAAGAGGGTAACGAACAAGGCAGGTGGGGCAAATCAATCAATAATCAGGTAACAAGATGGGAGGGGCCAGACAATTGACAAGAGAGCACATGGCACAAGCAATACAAGACAAGCCATGTGCTCACAACAAACCAGACTAAACACCAACACATGAGAAACTGGGAATGTCAGAGCGGTCACCAACCCAGTTATAAACCCAGGTTACAGAACCCTGATATTATTTAACTGACAAAAGTACAAATAAAAGATTTTTCAATGGTTTCACTGACCAACTCAATTAGATTTTTGATGCCTGCAACACACTGCAACAAAGTTGTCACATCAACCTTTACTGCTGTGTCACAACACCTTTACCACTGCCATTGGTAAATGTTTATTTTATACCCAATCACGATGCCGCACCTATTACCACACCTAGTAAGAGTGTGTTGCAGCAATCAAAATCAAAATTTGTTTATATTAATTTGCTTTTGACAATTGACAATACATTTGTAAATTAATTTGGCAAATGAAAACTTTGGACTTTTTTATTTGTACAGTCAGTTGAATAAAGGTTTAATATAATTAACACATCACAGATTCTTGGTATTATTGCATTTGACAAAATACCAACTTTTTTTGAATTGGGGTTGTACCATGTTTGCCCTCGGTGCGTCCATTAATGCGAAGCACAACACCATAATGACTGCCATAATAAGGCTGCCTACCAAATCCATTCATCCCGTTGTCAGGAGTAGCACGAATGCATGTAGTTCATAAGACAGAAAAATGCATCCATTCACTGTAGGCGAATCACCACTATATACAACGTGGAGCATCCAATTTAGGGTAACTTCAATGATTATAGTGTCGATTTTGCCCGAACGAACAGCTCACAGCTGGTGTAGAGATGGTATTAGCTAATTTATTTTATTACTCTCATCAGTTACTGCTTTAGTTTATAGCCTAATTCCTGTTGCTTATTTTCTCTCATTAGAACGAGATAAGACAGTGGTTAGTCACCGCTCTTGAGAAAGAAGTGAAAAACTTTTGTGATGACTTTGATCCAGAGATCATGGATGGATACTACTTCAGCAACCTTGCTGTAGATGTTTTACCAGTAAGTAATATTCTCTACTCACTCTCTAACCACATTCTTTATTTAGTTTGGCATGTTGGGATCATCAAACAGAGTCAGACCTATTTCCTAAAAAAAAAAAAAAAGTTTTTGTTTTTGGCTTCATGTGGTTATCCATTGAAGTGTAACCATTTTTGTTCCATAGCTTGTTGATGCAACTGTGAGAGAGGTCAACACACTTTTGGGCTGTGAAAGTAAAGCCAGGAGTCTTCTATGCCATCTTGGCAGATTTCTTCTGAGGTATATATGTAATTAGTCACTATATCTCTGTCACATTTTCATGCATTAAAATAAGACTGACATGCTCTCTCCTTTTTTCAATGGCAGCTATAAGGCAAGTCTAGAGGAACTTCTCAAAAGAAAACAAGAAAACATTCCTAAAACTCTCAGTGCTAGTCTCAATAATATTTACCTGTTTAGGTGAGTTTAATTGGCAATTTTTCTACCTTGCTGCAGAAATTATTTTAAAGGTGCAGTAAGCGATTTCTGAGAAACGCTGTTGGAAATTTTAACCAACACCTAAATATTTTCTAGATGTCTGTTCTGTATGTGCTGAAAAATCAAATAGTGTTTGTTTGTAGGCTGTTTTCTGGCTGTTTAAATAGGAGAAAAAATAAAGTGGGTTCATTGAACTGATTTACGGAGCACCAAAAAACTCTTGTAGTAAATTAAATTAAATTAAATTCAAATTTATTTGTATAGCACTTTTCACGCGTGCACTCTCACCGTCTTCAAACTGACTTGCTCTCTCTCTCCCTCGCGCTTATGAATGAAGTGAGATGACTGAATATCTTTGAGAATACATGACGGTAAAAGGTCGGAAAACTAACACTGGTTGTGAATTGTGCTAAAATAAAGTTGCCTTATCTTCACTGAAAAGCGTTCCACACATTCAGATGACATAAACAACACTTTCAATAATAAAAAAAAAAAATCTATCCAGTGATGAAATACTTTGTGTTTACACAAATTTTTGTGCGATGTCCTAAACTGCCTGGATAATCAACGTGTGCAGTGGTCCGTTAATGACTCATTTGAACCGATTCACTTTAATGAATGGTTAAAACAACTAATCTATTCAACACTGAACTCAAGAGACATCAATTGGAAACACTTTACAATAAGGTTTCTATTTAACTACATTAGTAAAACCTACATTAGTAATTAGTTTTTATGTGGATTTACTCCATGACAAAACCACCCCAGTCATTCTATAATGATTCATTCTTTTCAAATAGAGCTATTCAAGTCATCTGGAGAAATTGTTTTTATATCGCAATATATATCATGGAAAAATAAAATATCGCAATGCCAATTTTTACCAATATCGTGCAGCCCTAGGCTGGATACAAACTGGAATTGACAAATTCTATTTACCTCGGGACTAAAGTCCTGATATAACAGCAGAAAAGCAGATGAGAAATAATTAGCATAGCTGCTGTTCGTAATATTAATGCATTCGATCTGATTTGACAGTAGTATAAAACTTAAGCATAATGTGACTGCTTGGCTAAAGAGATGCGTCTTTAATCTAGTTTTAAACTGGGACAGCTGGTCTGAGCCTCAAACAATATCAGGAACCCCCCTCCCTCCTTTAGTGGACTTAGATATCCTAGGAATGACCAGAAGCCTTGAATTTACTTATCTTAAAGGGTTCACCCAAAAATGAAAATTCTTTCAGTAATCACTCACTCTCATGTTGTTCCAACCACGTAAGACCTTCGTTCATCTTCAGAACACAAATTAAGATATTTTTGATTAAATCTGAGAGCTGGATCACTCCTCCATACTAGTCCATAGGCTTCTTAAGGAATTGAAACTTGCCAGCCTCGAAAAGTTATTAAATAAATTGTTAAAATAGTCAGAAGATAGATCCTCATTTAAACAGACAAAAAGATAACGGTCTGATAGGTATGAACTAAACCAGCTTAATGCCTGTCCCTGAACACCAGTGTAGTTTTGTAGTCGATCCAAGAGTATCTTATGATCTAGTGTCGAATGCAGCACTAAGACCGAGTAGAAATAGTGAGATACAGCCTTGGTCAGAAGCTAAAAGTATATCATTTTTCATTTTAACTATCGCAGTTTCTGTGCTATGATGCGGTCTGAATCCTGACTGAAATTTTTCAAAGATATAATTTTCTTGCAGGAAAGAGCACAATTGAGCGGACACAACTTTTTCTTGTAATTGTAGACAAAAATGGAAGATTTGAAAAGGGTCTGTAATTTGCTAGGTTATTTGGATCTAATTGCAGTTTCTTAATGAAAGTTTTTATTAAAGCCAGCTTGAATATTCTTGGAACATGACCTAAAAAGTCAATCAGCTGTAGGGTGTGTATACAGTCATGATGAGGGACGAGAGAAAGTGAGCAAGTGGGACATTTGTAGAAAGACTGTAGTAAGAGAGATGGCTGAGATATTACCAAAGAGGAAAAGGTCAAAAGATCGCAAGAAGAATGGTTACGATTAGGCAAGATCTAGGATCTGCTTTAATATTGGAAACACTTTTCAAGAGCTGGAGAGATGTTAGAGAGCAGGAAGATATAAAAACAGCTTACTGAGGTTGTTTGTTTCTGTTTGATACTTGAGCAACAATGTTGTTTTTCTGTTTCTCAGAAGATATTCTGTTGTTGTTTAATTCTTCCAAACTTGCGCAAGCTGTCTAATTTGAGAGCCGTTAGTGGTTGCCTGTGATGCATTTTGTGTTTGTTATATTGGGGGTGGAGCAATGATGAGGTGGTGGGTGTTTCTGACTTAAACACGACTTCCCAGACAGCAAAATATTCTGTTGGGTGGTTCTCATTTCTTATTTGTGCATCCTTGTCTCCTTCCCTCACTTCTTTTCCTTGTGTCTTAGCTCTACCCCTTTAGGATGCAAGGGAAGGATACACCTGTGTATCCTAGCTCATAACTCGGAAGCTTCCTTGCTCCTAGTTCCTCGCCTCATCGTGGTGCAATTAGAAAATTTAAAATTCCTTGAAAGATGACTGAGATCAATCGGTTTCCGGGTCACGGGCTGGTAGACGGAGGAGCGAGGAAACAAGGAAGCATCTATTTGAGTAGCACCAAGTAGCATCCTGTGTTACACAGAAATCGCTTACTGCCTCTTTAATTGACAATTGTATAATAGTCTTATATTACTCATTTTTGAAATTTTATACAATTGAAATTACATTTTTATATTATATGCAAACTATAGCTCTCTTTTAACCGGAAACACAGTCCACTATCAGTATTTAGATTTAACGTAATTAAAAAAGAAATAATTGAATGTAATTAAATTGTAGCAACCATTATTTCTCTATATCCTCAGGGATTATGTCCAAAGACCAGAACATCTTTTCTCAGATGACTCTAGAAAGGCTTGTCTGTCCACATTAGCAGACCTAAAAAACATCTGTCACGAATACTTCCTCAGTCGAATTCACTCAGAACTGAAGGTTAGTAGGCAAAAGAAAAAATCATTAAAGTACTTATTTACGTGGAGATACTGCCCTAACCATTTTTTTATTTTTACATGTCCTTACTGGGAAAATAGCATTGAGCTTTTCTTCCATGTTTAAGATTCTTCTTTACTATTAATATCTTAAAGGGATGCTCCACTTTTTTGGAAATAGGCTCATTTTACAACTCCCCCAGAGTTAAACAGTTGAGTTTTACCGTTTTCAAATCCATTCAGCCGATTTTCTGATATTTAGAAGAATATCAGTAACCAAACAGTTTCTGGTCTCATTGACTTCCATAGTATATTTTTTTCCTACTATGGAAGTCAATGAGACCAGAAACCATCTGGTTACTGATATTTTTTTAAATATCAGAAAATCGGCTGAATGCATTCGAAAACGGTAAGACTCAACTGTTTAACTCTGGGGGAGTGGTAAACGGATCCTATTTCCAAAAAGAGTGGATAGGGGAGCGCGGGGCACAAGCTAACGCGGGGTAAAATGTAACACGGACCGTTTACATAGTTCGTCAGGATCAAGCAGGTTGTGTTTATGATATTTTTGTCTTGCCAGAAGACAGTCTCCCGCGAATTTGCGGAAAGTTTTGAAAATATTTTGTGAAGATACTGGACAAAGAGTGTTTTGACACCATGAAAGTAAATTTTTTCATCACAGATTTTTTTCGGTTTCTGAGTTGGGTGTATACGCTTCCAAATCTAACTTTATATTGCCTTAATCACTGTCTTGTTGGCTCAAACATAGCACCGTTTTGAAACATGTCAGCAATTCCTAGCGACTGTTAGCTAGGGTTAAAATATGTAATACCAACGCATTCTCACCCCAAGGCGTCACCTTTGACCATGCTTCAATATTTGACGTTTTAGGCGCCCTTTAGCGTCACTTACATGACGCGATCCTACGGCGTCATCTAACTGACGCTAAAGGAAAGCGGCAGTTAGATGACGCGGTTAGGTTTAGGTCTGGGGTGAGGGCAGGGTTACACGCGATCCTAGGGCGTCAGATATTGAAGCATGGTCAAAATGATTCCCAAGGCGTCAGTTAGGTGACGCCTTGTGGGTGAGAATGGGCTGGTAACACACAGCGGGGTTAGTTGTAACACAGTGTTACAATGATAATCAAATGAAAAAAGGGAGCCACACAACTTTTCAGGTTTGAGTATTATTTATACATTTAACTTTGGATTTTCTCAAACAATGTTGGAATTTAAAATGGTTAAAATTTAGTTTACTATGCATTCATCACTTGTTTATTTATTAAAAATATGGCCTGTTTTTAACGCAATAAACCCTTACAATTTTTATTTAAAGCTCATTTGTATTATTATTAATGTTATTATTATTAATAATAATAATTGTACATGCAGCTGCCGCACACAAATCAAATTTAATTGCAATTACAATATTTTATGATTTTATTTATTATTATTGCAAAACTGTGCAGCCCTATGTCTCTATCCATGATATTGATCCATAATAGAAGGATGATTGGATGAGGGATGGATGTATGGATATCTGTCTATACAGATGCACAAACATTATCAAACTATACAAATAAAATAGTACTGAATTATGTGTGTTACACACAAGTGTTACAACTAAGCCCTCTGTCTGTTACAATTAACCCTGCATATGGGGTAAGTTGTAACATTTGCACTTGTGTCACTTTCTGTGCAACTGTACGAAAATGGTAGGTCCTAGAAAAAAACTTTAAGTGTTCATTTGTAGCAGAGATGTGTATGTTGCTTGTGTAAAAAAAAAAAATCTAACCTAATTATTTTTTATTTAATTGAGGCAAAACCAAAATGCATTAAGTTGTGCCCCGCTTTTCCCTATCCCTTTAAATTAAATTATACATTTATGAAATAACCAGACTTGTTTATCTGTACAGCCGCTGTACCGTAAGCTGTGGACTCAAGCCTGGTTTGCTAAACATTCTGAGGTTGAGGAGGAGCTGATGAAGGCGCTGGAGAATAACATAGATCAATTCAAAGAACTAAAGCCAGTCTGCCGAGAGGTCAGGGTCACTTTTACAGAAAATATTGTTTCTAACTAAAACATGATGTAAATAGATGTATATAATCTTACACTGTTCACTAATGTGGCGATTAAGATACAGATATAGATATATATTTGAAGATTGCGTGTCTATGTGTGTATAGGAACTGCTGGCCGAGCTGCATGTAGAAGTAATGGTTGAGTATGTGAGACGAATGATGAAGAGAAAACTAAAACTGAAGAACAAAGAACAGCAAGATGCAGCTGCTGAGTTCATGTGCCAAGACAACAGTCAAATCTGCTCTGTGTTTGCCAAAGTGGTAAGGTCACATCCAAGCTGCTTATAATAAATAACTACTTGCAAACATCCAAAGCATGCACAATCAAGATTCTCATCCACATTCAAATAGAGCAAGCTCAAATTACACAAAAATGAGAAAAATTGTACTTTTGACTCTTATTTGCAAACACAATCCAACGGCTTCTTTATTCTGGAACCATTTAGGAAAATGCTGAAATTCCTGGCTCACAGTGAATTCAGAAATGTGCACATTTTTTACAGTTAATTGATTTGTTTTTGGTTTTTTTTTTTTGTAAATATGTAGGCTATGTTTTGTGTTTTTTTTGGTCCCACTTTATATTAAGTGGCTTTAAGTACTATGTACTTACATTTAAAAATAAGTACAATGTACTTATTGTGCTCATGTTGTATTGTAAATCACTTTTGGTGCTATTGAGGTGGGATACAGGTAAGGTTAGGGACAGGTGTGGTGGTATGGGTAGGTTTAAGGGTAGGTTTAAGTGTAAGGGATGGGTCAGCTGTGTAATTACAGATGTAATTACATAAATTAATTACGGCTGTAATTACATGCTGGTATTTTTTAAATATAAGTACAATGTAAAAACATGTATGTACACAATAAGTCCATTGTATCAAATTATTAATTTAAATGTAAGTACATGGTACTTAAAGCCACTTCATATAAAGTGGGACCTTTTTTTTTTTTATCACAGTTTCCAAGTCTTTGCATTGGAAACCATAAAATACTAATTAAAGTGTTGGAGGGTTCATTTGTTCAAATTATTTAAAATATTTAAATTATTTCTGTGCATAACATACTAATAGTAACATACAGAAGTCTGGCACCATTGTTTTAGACACAATATGACATTGAGGCAGACCCAAAATATGGACCTTTTCAGTTTATTCTCTTTGCATTATTCTCTTTGTTTGAAAGAGCATTAATTCTGGGAAAGAAGTGGGAAATTGTTAGCGTAGAAATCTAGACGCACCCTAGCGGCAGCAAAAATTATTTTGCAGCAAAGTGTGGTCTAGCAACTCTCCATAGACGTTTGAGCTGGAAAACCCCAACTCTGGTAGGGCCAATCACATCGTGTATAGAGTCGGAGGGCGGGCTTAACATAATGATGACAGAGTTGCGACGGTCAGAGCAAGTTCGGACATATTCGGTTTAAAGTCGTTCATCCTCGGATGCGGCAGGCGCCGTGCGCGCTGTTACAAAAAAGCTGTTGCGAAATGATCAACTTGTCATATTTGCAGCGCTCGTGCTGTCACATCGAGTATAAAGGCTTTACTCCGTGTCAGCGCGGCGCTCTGATCGGTATAGGTGCACGGACCTCTCCCGAATCATCTCCACCACCCCGAAGCACCACTACTCCGGCTCCGTTTCCTCCGAGCCCTGTCAATGAAGAGTTTCCAGACCTAACATCTTGATGTAGGTCTGGCATGCCAGGCTAGGAAATTACTATGTAACAAATATAATTAGTTTTCTAAGTGAAGTACCATTCTCTTCTCTAGGGATCCAAAGAGGAATGGCTCTGTCAAATACTGCCAAAATTATCAGAGATTCTGAGACTGCAGGATCTTGGGAGTTTGCAAATTGAGATTGTTACTCTGGCAAGAGACTATCCTGATATTAGGTAAGTCTGATAGATGTGAGCAGGCAAGATGCAGTTATTAAACCATAGCAAGATATCTGATTTTCACACGTCTCATTCTTTATACAAATACCAACATACATATTAGTAATAATATTATTAGCAAAATGAAAGATAAACAATCAATCTTCCAGTGTTTGTCTTGTTCATCAGTTATCTTTGTTGTCACTCTCCACTAGTGAGCAGCATGTTCTTGCTGTCCTGAACCTGAAGACCAACCTTTCAAGCTCAGATTTGCGTAGGATCAAAGGGTGTTTAAGTGAAAGCAGAGACAGAGAGGACACTGAGTCCTTCCCTTCCTTCTTCTCTAAAGTTCTTGTCAAACAAAAAATCATCTGCCATCTGCCATGTTAATCAACTGTGATACACAATCAGTATTGTTATTTAATATTTATTATTTACAGCTCAGTGATGTTTTCTCAAGGGATTTACACTTTTCTCTAGCACTAAGGTCAAGAATTAAATATTTATTTAGAATAAAATGTGTATTTAATGAGCCGTATTTTATAATTTGATGAAACATTACAAGGTGTTCAAATGGATGTGTTAATGATTTGAGAGCACTGAGCATGTGTATAATCAGTTGAGAAAGCCTCAGAAGTTCTAAAATCATAATGGTAAAAAAAATCTCAAAAGGTACAGCCATATTTTTCTTGCACTGTGTTTTAGTTTTATTCAAATGTATGTTTGGAGTAACTGAATTGAATGCATGGGGAAGCAGATACTTAGAGAGCAAGAAAGAAACAATGCACTGTAAAAAATATTGATGGTTTAACTTAAAAAGTAAGTAACCTGGTTGCCTTAAAATTTTAAGTTCATTGAACTGGAAAAAGTGAGTTAATACAATGAAGGAGATTAATTTAACCATCAGAAACTCAAAATAATAAGTTATCTCAACTAAATAAATTATTATAAAGTTGATTTGAAAAAAGAAAATATGTTGTGATAACAAATCTTGAAAATATTTTTTACAGTGTGTGAATGTAATAATACATGGTGGGTGAAATTAGCAGGTTAGCTGAGACTGTTTTCACAACAGACTCAATACACATATTTCTATTTGAAAGCTCTGAAAACAAAGACAACTATTTAAATGTTCTAGTAAAATGCATGTAGGCCTATATGTATCATAATCCAACGAAGGCCTTGCTTCACAGTAACAAACTGTTTATCACTTAGGCAAGCTAAAATAGGCAATATAAAATGGTAAATATAAAGAAATCCCACTGTCAGAGAGACTGAATGTTATTTGTCTTTTAAAATTATCGTGGCTGTCACTGCATGTCTTATATAGCTAAATAAAATGTGTCAAAGCACGAAAGTTTTGATGGTCCTTTGTCCACTATTACGGACAAAAATTATATCCGTAATAAATTATGTGCAGGGTCAAATAATTTATAATAAAATACTGCAAAATTCCATGGAAATAAGAATTGACCATTTTGAAGGTGGAGGGAATCCTTAGCTCCAAATACCAGACAATTTTGGCACAGAACCAGGGGTCTGGCGTCTGCTAAAAAGAACTTTCACCTTTCAGAATGACAATGATCCAAAACACACATGTAAACAAAAGAATGGCTTCAGCAAAGAAAGATCAATGTTTTGGAATGGCCCAGACGGAGACCGGATCTGAATCTATACATGAAGAGAGGGCTATGCACAATAGAACAAATGCCCTACTAGCAATTTCACAGATCTGGAACAATTTCGCAAAGAAGACTGGGAAAATATTCCCACGTCAATGTTCCAAGCTGATAGACTCCTATTCAAACTTAGTGCTGTAGTAAAATCAAAGGCTGCTTGTTCAGGGCTGTGCACACTTCTGAGATTCTGAGACTGCAGGATCCTGGGAGTTTGCAACTTGAGATTGCAACATTGCAATAGACTATCCTGACATTAGGTGAGTCTGATAGATGAGAGCAGGAAATATGCAGTTATTTTATTTGAGAGGCAAATACTATAGGCCACAGCCAAAACCATTACATGATGTTTCACTATCTCACGTGACTGCCAAAAAATATTTTTTATCAGAATAATCTATTTTTTAAACATCTTGTTTTCTTTATACTACTAATAATATTTTACAAATGAAGAGTTCAGATGCAAAAGCCACTAAGTGCCATTTGAAATTTTCTTCTAGAATGATCATTTTTATCAAGCTTGTATATTTAAGTTCAGTGATTTCACTTAAATGGCAATGATAATTACCTATTAATTGTTATTTAAGTGAAATTACTGAACTTAAATATACAAGTTTGACAAAAATCATCATTAAAGAAGAAAATTTCAAATGGCATTTAGAGGCTTTTGCATCTGAACTCTTCAAATATCAATATATTTTGACATCTGTATAGATGGTTTTAGCAGAATGAATAATATTTTTGAATTTAGAGTTCAGAGAACCCACAGGGCTCTATCTTGCACCCAGCGCAGTTGACTTTGTACACCTACGCAAGTACACATGTATATCATGCGTGTTTTGCACCCGTGTAAAGCAGACTTTTCCGTCCACAGACACACCGGCAAACTAGGGAATGTCCTGGGCGGTTCAGTGCAAACATTTTTTAAGCGTGCATCACCCTAAAGCGATTTTGCATTTTCATTTTATAGTGAGGATCACTCATTGTGACATTTAAACTGATTCTCATGTTAAAGGGTTAGTTCACCAAAAAATGCTAATTCTGTCAGTATTTACTCACCCTCATGTTGTTCCAAACCTCTATGTGTTTATTTGTTCTGCTGAACACAAAGGAGGATATTTGGAAGAATGTTTTAATCAAACAGATCTCATTCCCCATTGAATACCATAGTAGGGAAAAATACATACTATGGTAGTCAATGGGGAATGAGTGTATTGAATGTACTACATGGAATAAGAGGGTAACAAACACCACTTTAATTTACAGCCCGAAATGTCACACTTACCCTGTAAATACATGAAACAAGAGGGTAACAATTCTCCTGGTATTCTCCTGGTTGTTATTCTCCCCCTTTATTTCCCAAACTTAAAATATTGTTCCCTTATACTTATATTGTATGTATGTTATAGTTACACGATAATTACCGAAGGTTACGCTGTAAAATCGCTTTAATTACGCAGTAGTTTCCGGGCTGTAATCTAAAGCGTTACCAAAATATGTTGTTGTCATTATTTATAAAAAAAATCGGGTTAAAGAAAAATGCGATCAGTCTAAAAGTAGTAAAATGCGATTGGGGATCGCGGCTGTCAATCAATATCTTCCAGTCAAGCTGGCCCCTGATTGGTCGGGGCCCTTAAAGCTACACTGTATGATTTTTACCCCCATCTAGCGGTGAAAAGGTATATGACCATCCAGTGAATATTAGTTCTCTTCCTCACAATTTCGATTTCGTTTTAACTCCTACGGTGGCCAATGTAGTCCAAGATTAACATGGCTTCCAGTTCGACCTCATCCTTGAGTGTTAACTCAAACGTAAACGCGAAAGGCGAAGCTTGAATTAACGGGTATGTCCCTCTTTGGCTAATGCACTTTGAAGATGGAGGGGCAACATGGCGCCCGACATTAGAACCCCTCACCCGTATTTATTTTCAATAGCATATTGTACACTCACGAGAATACTTTATTACTTGAATTAAGTAAATATACATTAATGAGCACATTTATTTTTGAAAGTGTTTTAGCTAAGAATAAACTAAAAGAGTTACACAGTGTAGCTTTAAGCAACAGCGTGCGCATGGCTACCCTGCTTACCGATAGTTACGCCTGTGCGGTGGACTAACTGTCTCTATGTTGAATATGACCAGATAAGGATCATTTTTCATCAAGCGCCCACTATTTGTTGTGGCAGCAGGTGCCCAAATATTCTGTTTTATTCTGTAAATCACTAATTGGCGTGTTTGCTGGTGAATGTGACGGAGCAGATGATGAGAACAAATTAGCCAAGCAGATTAGCCCCCGCTAGCTAACATGTGCAGCTGTCCTCATACGGCAAAAACAATTTGTCATCGGTTTTGAACGAGGTCTGAGGGTGGCTGTAAGCAGGGCGATTCACATGAAGGTGAATGTACGTGCTCATATTTCACAGCCCAAGGCGTCACCTAACTGACAGCATTTGACCATGCTTCAATATCTGACGCTTTAGGCGCCCTTTAGCGTCAGTTAGATGACGCCCTAGGAACGGGTGTACCCTACCCCCACCCCACACCTAAACCTAACCGCGTCCTCTAACTGACGCTTTCCTTTAGCGTCAGTCAGATGAGGCCGTAGGATCGCGTCATGTAGTGACGCTAAAGGGCGCCTAAAACGTCAAATATTGAAGCATGGTCAAAGGTGACGCCTTGGGGTGAGAATGTGTTGTATTTCAATAAGGTCTAGAAGATTTAACATACTGTATAGGCCTAAATATAATGTTACAGTTAAACAGTGCAGAGTGTATTTTTTCAGACATATGATAACCACATAAAGAGCCTCTATACGGTACGTAAAGCATAATGTTTTTCACTGTTGTTTTTGCCAAAGCAGTGCACTCCAACACTTCATAAAAACTTAAAGCTTTATTTGATCATAATTGCGTTCACCTGAAAATGTTATTTTAAAGTGAACTGGTGACCTCATGCGGCAGCTATCAAAATAAAATAAATAGGCCAGCACGTTTTATCACTATCTAACTGGATCTAACCATAGACTGTAAAGGGTCTAACATTATTTCTCAGTGGCTTACAAACAAACATAGCTTACAAATTATAAAAAATAAATAAATAAAAAATTCATATTTAGCAGTAAGTAAACAATCAATTCGTTCAAAGTGGATCAAAACATTATAACTCTTTAGGCTTCTGAACATAGTTTTACAATTTCACTTTATTGGTAAGAGGAAAACCCCTTGAGATGTGGCATCTCGTTTTCGAGGGGGCCTCAAAAAACAAAACAAAAAAAACATACTTCACATACATACATACATACTAACAGAACAAAGACAAAAGCTCTCCATCACACCGAAACCACCCATAACTTCCACAGTCCAAACAATGTATATAGGCAATAAGCAATAAAGGTCAATCTTATCACTGAATCACTGAAATTTGTAGTTTTTGGGTCAGGTCACATGATGCTCAGAGATACAGACATCAAAACATCAGTAAATGTCAAACAGAACTGCAAAGATGCACTTAAACTTGCATTTGATTATTCTAAAAAGAAAATGCCTACTAAAGGGAATACAAATAAATGTCTAAATACAATTTGTAATTTATTTTGATTGTTTGTTTTTGTTGTGGTTTTACATTTTGTAATTCATTTTGAGCTAAATATAAGGGATTCTGAGCTAAATACCACCAGTATAACACCATAGGCAGTGAGAGTTGTTCATTACCATGAATCAGAAAAACATTTTTAAATTTGATTTGTAAATAAAAATAAAGTCGTATGTTTGGCATTAATTCAACTCACCTTTTGAAGAGCCCTGCTTGAAAGAGGAATAAATGCTCTGCATGTGGAACAGCTTAGCTATCCTGTCCCACTAGATAAGGTAAGCATCTTTTATATTTGTAGTTAGACTGATAAAAACAGCTGTTTAAACCACACAGAACAATTAAATTCGTACCTATAAAACTTAAATGCTTTTTGCCACCGTAATGTGAATAATTGCACGGTTTAAACTGAAACTTACCATCACAACCTAGGTTTTCATTAAACCGGGAAAAATGGAATTTTGTTTTATTGACTATCACTGAGAAATGGTCTATTATTTAA